ACACACACACACACACACACACACACACACACTCTCTCTCTCAACACTTTGCTTTCATTAATGCAAACAAAGTCAAACACTGACATAGACAAAACTACTCTTAGCTTTTCTTTTGCCTTTTTCATTTTATACCTTGTTACCATAAAAAAAAGGTTGTAATCGTCTACTGACATACTACTACTCTAATAGTTTTTCTTTTGCCTTTTTTATAACGTTTTATACGCTTATTTATATTTTATAATCAGTAAAAGTTGTAATCATCTACTAGTGAATGTATTTTTTGATTTGTAAGCGTCCCATTGGCATTTCAAGTCATGGCTGCAGCTAATCAAGCTAATGTGATTTCAAGAAAGATGTTTTAACATTTAATAAAAGTAATTTTCTGTTCTTTTTTTAATCAAACACATTCACAATTGGGTTTCAAACTGTGAGCAGGAAATACAACAGCTCTTCCTAACTTACCTGGCAGCCTGAGGTTCACAGCTTTCATGTTTTTGTTAAGTTTTGAATCCTGAGTATGTAATTTATAAATAGACTCAGTTGTTTGTTTTTTCCAAAGAGCTTTTTGAAGTATTTCCTCATCATTTATATTAAGTCAGCGTCACAGACAGCCACCGTGCTCCACTCATCATTTAGGCTTCAAACACAAGAATAATCTGCTTTTAGAAGATGAGACACTCCCCGCTCCATCAGTTAAAAGTTTTTCCAGTAAAAAGAGACACTAATGGGGCTTTCAATCACTTTTTATTGATTTGGCACGCGTTTTTGTTTTTGTTAATTACATAGCTAAGAGACTTGGTCAATAACAACTGATAGAGCGTGGTTTGTGGCCCGGCTTGTTTTAAGGAGATGTCTGACTAACAGCAGATTTATCCTGCTGTTTAAAACGCCCAATACGAACAAGTGGGTAGATTTCTCAAACCTGAAGCCATTACTGAGATTATGTCACAACGCTAAATGAAGTGGGATGAAACAACAGTATAACAATTTCGTTTTTGTTATTAGTTAACATGACTTATGACACACTCATGTCAGATTTGAAAATGGAAGAATAAGTCAGAATAATTTCATTTTAAGTGTTGTTTGTTTTGTATGTATGTGTTTTATTGTGGGTCAGAGTATTCAACGGCTACTAACTTGTTTGAATGGTTCTAATCAAGCCTTTGTATCACCTGATTAACACTGTGATTTGTTCATTTCATTTGAATCAAAGCACTTGATATTGAGAACATAATGTTTTGTAGCACCTGATTTTTACTGACAATACATTTCTCATAAAATCTTTGAATTCACGCCTTNAAGTCAAGCACTGACATTGACAAAACTACTCTAATAGTTTTTCTTTTGCCACTTTTACTGATTATAAAATATAAATAAACGTATAAAACGTTATAAAAAAGGCAAAAGAAAAACTATTAGAGTAGTTTTGTCAATGTCAGTGCTTGACTTTGTTTGCATTAATGAAAGCAAAGTTTTTTGTGTGTGTGTGTGTGTGTGTGTGTGTGTGTGTGTGTGTGTGTGTGTGTGTGTGTGTGTGTGTGTGTGTGTGTGTGTGTGTGTGTGTGTGTGTCTGCCTCAGTGTGTCCGTGGGCCTCAGACTCACAGCCTCCTCTGGAAGGGAAGAGAGAAGAGGGAGAAATCACTGAGAGGTTTCTGATCCCGAGGAAATGCTGAATTAACGTCCCGAACGCTACTTGATGCTCGTCTGTAAAACGCTTCCTTAATCCTTCAGCGTCATTCTATATTTGTAGTTTGATGACTTGCTGTTTTAAATGGAAGGTTCCTCTGTTTGCAGTGAAACGTCTCCAGATACTGAGGCCTCGTCTTCTCCCGCCGGGCTCAAACTGATGAGCCATGAATAAACAATTCCTCTCTCTGGGGGTTTCAGGTAAGCTGCTGTGCGGAGATAGCATGCATAATTACAGCCTGCCACGTGATTTCATTTCTAAAACTGTTCCAAATATGTTTGCCTCTTGGTATTCATTCAGGCACACAAAGACAGCACTCATCAAATCCCTGCTGCTGAGCAACAAAAGAACGATGAGTTCAGGGTCTTTGTTGCACTTTGTTTCAGATTCCTACTCGCAGAATTAGAAGAGATACTGGAAATTAAAACTGGAGGTTTAGCTGCCGGAAATGTGGCTTTTATCTTTTGAATTATCACTGGAAACTGCTATGAGTGGCTGCTGGCTTTGAGAAGTAATACAAAAGCAGTTCTACGAGAGATAATCCAGTTTAGTTTTAGGCAAAATGTCTCCTACATATAATGTCAGGTGCAGAAAAAAAGAAAGGCAATGAACTGTTATGTTTTTCACTGGTATTTTTGACACTCAAATGTGTAGTTTTTTTTCCCGAAAAAATTTGATATACTATGATATTTTTCCGACTATACAATTACTTTTTTCTACATACTATACCAGATAGTTTTAGACAATACTATGTTTTTTTTCCTGATATGTTCGACATACTGTACCTTAATGTTTTTATTGAATTCTACTCTGCAATAAGCCAGTCTGTTTATTGTATTTACATACCGTACAATGTCGTTTTTCCTGAAAATATATGTTTTTTGACAACTTTTTTTCTGCATACCACACTGTCGACATTTTCGGGATTACTATACTAAATTGTTTTTTCTGATATTTTTCTACGTACAATACTATGACTTTCTTTGGACATACTAGACTAGGCAGTTTTTTCTGATATTTTTGACACTATTTTAATGTGTTGTTTTTTCTTTGCATATTTCCGACAGACCATGTTGTTTCCTCTAATATCTCCAACAAACTATATATGTGTTCTTTCCCCCAACATACTATGACTTACTGTACCATGACTTTACCAAAGCTTCTTTCCCTCACAAAATTCTTCATTTTTTTTTGCTTTATAAACTGGGTAGCCGAATACTTAACCGATGTTACCACAATTTCCCTGGTTCATTTTAAAGTCTTTTTTAAATTTACATATTTAACTTCCGTGACATTTTAACGATTGTGCGGTGGCCTTTGTGATAATTAAATCGTCATGTTGTTCCCTTTCATGTACTACAAGAACTGTAATGACAACAAAGTCCTTATACCATCCCTAAATGGTCCTCTATGTGGAGAGTNATAAAAGATTCCGTGACTCCACCACGCAATGCGGTGTTAAGGAGTCGTGGTGGAGTCACGCATTCTGGTGAGATCAGGTTGCAGGTCGAGTTGCTCCAATACAATTTCTAAGCATAATATAATCATTTGGCTTTACCATATAAAGTAACATAAGAAATTGCCACTACAGTGTGTGTGTGTGTGTGTGTGTGTGTGTGTGTGTGTGTGTGTGTGTCTCACTACATATACACATCATTAGTATTGATTAGTGTGGCTTTAAGGTTACGGACAGCTGAATGCATTATGTAAACGAGGGCCCTGACAGGAATAGAAAACTTTGTGTTTCTTTATGTCCTACCTGCTGTGCACACGGCTCCTCGAGCGGCACTCCGAGGCTGCGAGGGTTCTTCTGGTAGTACGAGATGAGCTCTCCCAGAGTGCCGAAGGAAACTTTATCTGAGACGAAGTACGCCCCGATGATGGAGCGCTGGATCCTGAAGTGGTACACCTTCCCCTCGCTGCGGGCTGCGAGAGGGAGGAGAGTTATTGTGTGCACATGTAGTCAATGTTTTAAAACTCAAAGAATCACACTCAATCATTTTAGTCTTTCTCACAACCACAAAATGTGGTGTTTGTTTAGAAAGTTATGCTGGAAAGGACAGCAAGGATCAAGCAGTTTCATCATCAGACATGTAAAACAACATTGATATTCTAATAGTTACTGCATTCAAATCTGACTACATTTGTTTTTTTAGACATCTAGTTTACAAACATGACACCCATTGTTTTAAAGAATATTTCAGTTAATGTATTCAGGCTGTACTTCTGAACTGTTCCACATTGAAATGAAACATAATCTCATGATTTGTTTTACTCCCCCTGGTTTATCTCACAATGCATGTGCAATCTTCTACATACTGTGTGTGTGTGTATACACACACACACAGTATATTTTACTGTGTTGTTTATCATACGGTTTTCAGTTGATTGGAAGCATTACAGTATTGCCCATGAAAACATTCCCTTGCAGAAAATCAAGTGTACCTTAAATCTTAAATATGTGAAACACATCTTTTATGGAACGGAGAGATCTGATAAAGACCAAATTATCTGTTATCTTGTCTCCGTTGCAAACACCCAATTTATTATCCAAGATGACAAAGGTCTCTTTAAAACAAAAGGAAGGAAGCTAAAGGGCGGCAGTGGGGATAATAAAGTATGTCTTCTTCTTTCCTCTTCTAAAGAACTGTAGTTTGAAGTCCAGATACACAGACATAAAATATAAAGAATAGAAACACTACGAGTGTAGTCCTCACAGAAAAGCACAAACCATATTATTATGCTCTCAAAGAAGAAGATGGCCGTGTATATACAGGACTGTCTCAGAAAATTAGAATATTGTGATAAAGTTCTTTATTTTCTGTAATGCAATTAAAAAAACAAAAATGTCATACATTCTGGATTCATTACAAATCAACTGAAATATTGCAAGCCTTTTATTATTTTAATATTGCTGATTATGGCATACAGCTTAAGAAAACTCAAATATCCTATCTCTAAATATTAGAATATCATGAAAAAGTATACTAGTAGGGTGTTCAACGAATCACTTGAATCGTCTAATTAACTCGAAACACCTGCAAGGGTTTCCTGAGCCTTGAAAAACACTCAGCTTGGTTCAGTAAACTAAATCACAAGTATGGGGAAGACTGCTGATCTGAATGCTGTCCAGAGGACTGTCATTGACACCCTCCATCAGGAGGGTAAGACACAAAAAGAAATTTCTCAAAGAGCAAGCTGTTCACAGAGTGCAGTTTCAAAGCACATCCACAAAAAGTCTGTTGGAAGGGGGAAATGTGGCAGGAAACGCTGCACAACCAAGAGAGATGACCGCAGCCTTAACAGCATTGTGAAGNTTTTTAAATTGCATTACAGAAAAGCACAAACTATATTATTATGTTCTAAAGTTTCTGAGACAGTCCTGTACGTTCGAGGTGGAGACAGTAAATCATACATGAGTGTTTGCATCCGTGCAATAAAACAGAATTATTGAAGGTGTGTTGTTCTGCCTCCTCTCACACACAGACTACTGATGATGCATATTTCAGCAGGACTAGCACAGTGAACGTCTAACTGCAGCGATTTCCCCCTGGGACCTGAAGGACCTTGAAAAAAAGAGAGGAAGGGGGGGAGGGTATAGAAGGAAGGAAGTGGACAGAGGGATGGGGAGGAAAGGAAGCAGAAACCAAAGGGAGAAATAAGAGAGGAGAGGAATGAGCTGGAGGAGGTGCAGAGGACAGAGAGCGATAACAGGCTTACAGTCACAACTCTCTGGAGGTCCATTAGAGAATCTGCTGTGAGCTCATTCATAAAAAGTGTAGTTTGTTCAAGAAGACCAAATTCCAAAATGTAGGTCACTAAAACTGAACAAAGACAGTAAATACTGCGGTCTAAATATACCAGCTAACACTTCACTATTTTCCCGAAGACAGTCGGTTTTACTGCTAAAATTAATAACGAAAGAGTTCAACCTTTTGGTAATACTCTTAGGGTAACTCTGGGATTACAAATAGTAACTACAATTTCAGAAATGTTACCAATATGGAGTGAGGACGCCGCAGATTAAAGTGCTTCAATTCATCAGTTGAAGGAAGAGCGCACCATCAAATGAACAATCACTACAATTGCTGGGTCTTGCCAGGCTTTTATTGTTGAGTGTCTGACAACATTGTGGAAAGGACTGAGACAGGACGAAAAAGAAAAAAAGCATGGAGACAAGGCTGATTGTTATTCTATGAGAAGTCCCGTTCACAAATCTTGGGTTCCATCTATATTGTTGAAGAAAATATTCAAAATATTCAAACATGACGGGGAAAATTCTTTAGATATACTACGCTTTCGGCACGTTCAACACAACAAACCCTGACAACACTGGCTCTCGTCTCTCCAACTCTCAATCACGTATTGAGCCAATGTGCCCATCAAGCTGGAGCCAGGTGATATGCTTAGCTTAGCATGAAGAGTTAATTCAGTGGGAAACATCAATTGAACTCCGTCTAAATCCAGAAAGATTAAAAAATACACTACAATGCTTTAAAAAAGGTGTCTAAATTCATTTTTAGGGTACTGTTATTCCCAACTGTCCAAACATAGCACTGGTCAGTCTCTGGCAAAAATAACCAGCAACAAATCCCCAAAACAGAGATGAGTGATTTGTTTTCAACACCAAATCCTCCAACTTCAAACTCCAATCAGACGCTTTAGCCCCCATCGACCTCCAACACGGCGTCCTGAGGGCGAGATGTGACACCTCCCGCCCTCTATAGTGGGAGCAGAGGGAGAAAATCGAAGGGAGGGAGATTAAGGTTGACGCTGTCTGGAGACCTTGAGAGACAGAAGGGCGGTGGAGGCAGAGGGGTGATGGATGGAAGAGGAGGAGAGAATCAGAGGAGGCAGGAGGAGAGGAAATGCAGCGAGTAGAATCACACCAAAACATGATACAGTGGCTGAGAGCTCAGAGCACTGCAGCTGAAGAAAACACACAAACAAACTTGGAAAGAACCCTGAAACCAAAGAAAGCCAACTCATGAAGGAAAAACGTTGCAAACAGAGGTATAGAAAGCAAACATCACTTTTTACTGATAGCGCGTTTCTGATATCACTGGCGGTTTTTGCTATATGCTAATGTTGCTTAATCTGATATCAGCTAACTAATGGTGACCATTGTTAGCTACTTAAGCTAGATTTTGCGCTTTAACAGACATAATACCTCTTCTATACAATTGCTATGCTAAATCATTAATACCTCAGACAGCATGACATAAAGATTCTGAAATATCTTAAATGTCATGTAGTAAAATACAGAGTTTGATGTTTGCTTAATCAAAAACCTTTGTAATTGTGGTTTTCGACACTGAATTACTTTCATTTCACTCATTTTCATTTCAATCTTTATTTCGAACAGATTAAAAAAATAACAAATAAAAAATGTGAAAAACAGAATACGGTATTGTTAAAATACAGTATTTATCCACATACATGATAATATTTATATATTCAACAACAAAAAAAGTCTTCATATTAATCATAATAAATCATGTGTCCGAAAGGGAGCAGGAGGAAGCAAATGCTTATTAATTCCCACCCCTTACTTGATCAATGATTGTCCTTTAAATCATTATGCGAGTTATTCTTACTTAGATTTACATTATGCATAACAATCATTTCTCATCTTCAATCACCTCTCTTCATTCTCATAGTTTCCCAAAAAGTGTTTCTGTACATCCTTTTAAACTGAATTATGCTTTGTTTGAACTCCTGCTCCAAGCCATTCCATAAAATCACCCCACAGATTGTTGTACTCATACTTCTCAGAGTTGTTCTGACCTTGAGTTGTTTAAAATGTTCCTCTCAAATTATACCCACCCTCTCTGTCTACGAACAATGTTTTTAATTTCCTAGGAAGTAGATTATGTCTTGCTCTGTAAATGATTTGACCATTTAACCAGATCAGTGAACTTCAATATGTGTGATTTCAAAAATAATACATTAGTGTGTTCAAGATAGCCAACATTATTGATAACTCTTATAGCCCTTTTTTGTAATGTGCATAACGGCTGTAGGTTGGTTTTGTACGTGGTTCCCCAAATCTCCACACAGTAAATCAGATATGGCAATATTAGTGTGTTATATAGAGTATACAATGAGTTGTAGTCCAGAATGTGTCTGGCTTTTCCCAATATTGCGATGGTCTTAGCCAGTTTTGCTTTTACATGAGTGCTATGAGGTTTCCAGCTAATTTTGTGACACAGCAAGCTACACTACAGCTACAAGAAACAACAAACAAGACAACAAGGAATATAAATAATTGGGAGTATGAAGCCTGTTTTGAGTGTAACAAATACAAAAAGGAGAGCCAAGAGTATGAAAATAAGAGGGAAAGGTCAGGTTTGTGGATGTATGATGTGCCTCTTACCAGAGATGGTGTACTCGTCACTGTGACTCTCACTGATGCGAACCAGGAAGGAGCCATCTTTGTTTTGGGAAGCCAGCAGTAGCTTCTCAGCTTTCCCACGGTTTATGTTCCCGTAGTACCACCTGCACAGAGAAGAAACACAGAGGATGATGAGGGGGGGAGGAAGAAAGATCGTGAGAGGAATGTATGACCGGATGTTTAACACAATGAAAAACACATCAATGGTGATGAATGGAAACAGAGGAACATGTGATCAAATCAATGAATGAATATATGAATGAATTAAAAGGACCAAAGAAAAGAAGAACATGCACAACACACAAAAGCAGAATGTGTGTGTATGTGTATCACACGCATTCTGTATATCACATTTTGAACATTGCAATCTGAAGATCACAGTGAAGAAGGTAAACATTACAGTAACACAGTTCAACCAACAGGTCGGGTCACTCGGGATGATAAGCCATTTGTCCCAGAATAAATAACATAATAAATGTTAGGCAGTTGAGTTTTACCTTAGTTGGCCTATTTTTAAATATAGTTATACATTGTGAAAGGTAACATAATTTGAAGGAATATTTATTTGCTTAAAAACATTCAAAAAGTAGTTTTGTTGTCTTGAGCATAGAGAATACATCAAAAACAAATCAGCTGATTAATCCATTGGGAAATAATGAATTATTACAACCATTTTAAAAGAACTAGCAACAATAAATAAATACTAGTTAATCATTATGAAGGATTAATAATGGTCTAACTCCAATATGATTGTCCAAATATGAATGATAACTATATACCATTAGAATAGGGTAATACACTCAAAGGGACTATTTAAAGTACATTTTGCTGATAGAAGATCATCAGTTTTACGTGCAGGAGTTCTACTTGTACTAGAGTATTATTACTTTGTGGTACTAGCACTTTTAGTCAAGTCAAGGATCAGAATACGTTCACCGATTAAACCCATCATACATGAAGTTAATATCTCTACCAGAGAATTGTTTAGAAAGATTTAATCAGAGTGTTTAAACGTGTTGTTTGGGTACGTGCTGCCTGTTTGCTGGGACACAGAAACTGACCTGTATTTACTCTAAGTTATCAGGAGGGCGTGTCCGGCTGCATGCTCAAGTTTCACTGACAGTAACTACAAGCAGCGACTTAAGAAACAAAGAGATCCGTGAATAAAACACTACAGAAATATTGTTCTCTATGGACACATTTGAGATTAAAATGGAAAAGGTGAAAATGACTGAAGATAAACTCAAGCAGCAGCTGTGCACTGTGATAAGATGTATTCTCATGAAATCATGTCATATTTAATTGTATGATCATTAGGGAGGGTGCCTTTTGTGCCGTTGTTTTCAATTGCATAATACCAGGAGAGTGGCTTGTAATTCCTTAAATAAACAGGGTGGAGATATTATTACAAGAAGCTCAGAGTACATTAGGTGTGACTAGAAACTGAGCTTATCTTCTTAAAGGAATCTTAGTGATAAAACATTATGACAACTAAAAAGGTGCTTTGATCTTTAGATTCTATAAAAAGAAACTAGCACACATTTGTCTTATTTATAATTTCCCTCAGGCTCAGATGTTCCTCATGTATGAAGCTTCGTTATGTTATGCTTTGGTGTTGTGTTTAAAGGCGGCCTATTAAGCTAGTTTTCAGGGTCACATGTGTATTTAGTGCCTCTACTGTGACATGTTTACATGGTTTTCCTCACACTGCCTCTTTTCACCCTCCGTCTGAAACCAGTGACCAGTCTGCTGTGATTGGCTAGCTGGCCTTTAGCGGGACATCACCTACGATGTGTTAAAGTGATAGCCAATTGAAGTGTGGGTGTTACGTAATGATGTCACGTAAATAAACAAAGGAGTCCAATGTAGGTGTTCAGGCACGGGGAGAGTGTGGAGAGAAACTTTGGGATGTTAGCCTTTGCAGACATGCACAGAAACCTATAAAACACACTACTGGAAAGGGAAAACCCCCAAAAGCATACTAGGGCCCCTTTGGGGACAGTGGGACATGTGAGGATCACTGAGGGATCTGCAGCATGAAAAAAGACAGGGGGTAAAACTTGGAGGTCGGCTCTGTGAAACATGAGGAGTCTCTGAATAATGGACGACCTGCAGCCTCTCGCCTGCTCTCAGCTGCTGGCTCATCACAAGGTTTAACATCCAGAGATCTGGTGATGCCAGGAGGCTTCAAGACAGACTGGGGGATATGACTCAAATCTAATATTGCAATATGTTTGACCAAATGCCTCCCTTGATTGCGATGATAGTGTAGAATTGACCACTGAGGCCTTCACAAACAGTTTTACACAATGAGAACTTTGATAGTAAATCATCATTATCTTGAATATTATTAATAAGTAGGTTAAGGCAAATAATAAAACAGCATTGCAACTTAAGAAAATGTATTAAAAGTTTTTTGTTTGGTATAAAACCAGCCGTTTGAATAAGTTAACTTGGGCTTTGGGAAAATTGGTTTTAAACTCATGAATCAAATAATTTATCAAGAAATTAATTAACAGAGTAATTGCTAATACAATAGCTCAATTGGTTTCCTTCCAATTGCTGTTTTTGTCCATATAAAAAACTAACAAAAATTAGAGATGGTGAAACAGTGGATTTTTCCCATTTTTGTAAAAAACAAAACAACTATTAAATCAGTAATAGGAGTATTGTTGCATATTAATATATTGATCCTCTACTAAACAGATAATAAAATGAGCCAAATGGAGATTGGTTGATTGACCATTTAAGATATAGTTTCAGTTATAAATATATTTTAATATAACAATTGGACTCAATTAGAAAAAGGCCTTTATAAGTCAAGTCAAATCAAGTCCAATAACAGAACGTTTGCCAAAATAGATCAGGTGTAATCGAACCCTGAGATTACATTGATCCTTTTTGTGACTGAACCAGTTCATGACTGCAGGAGGTCAACCATCGGTCAGCTTTACCAGGGTGTCTCAGTTATCAGAATAAAAACAGGTGTAGCTATATGGTCATTTTGAATATTTGAACCTTCTGTGCCTTTAAATGTATATCAAACACATGCGAATTCGACAGATCCTGACACATTCAAAAATGACCCAAACATCAGTTCTCAGCGAGATCAGGTGAGACTAAAGAACATTAGAGGATTATTTTTCAGACTTACTTGTGTTTGGCGAACTCGTCCTGCAGCAGAGCAACGTAGTTGGCTGGGATCAGTCCGGACTCCAGAGACCCGGTCAGCTTCTTAGCCAGCACGTACTCCCCCCGCTTCTCGATCACCGACAGCTTGTCCCCCTCCTTCACAGTCAGCTCGTCGTCGCTACGGGCCTCGAAGTCGAAGAGCGCCGCGTAAAGCTGCACCTGCCGCTTCTTGGGCGACGGGACGCGGATGTCCCCGGACACTGTGCGGATCTCCGCCGTCTGCGCGGCCGGGTTGGCAATGACATGGTTGTTGTTGTTGGGGACGTTCGGGTAGCGGAAGTCCGGCCAAATGTAGTTCCAGAGCCGGCTACAACACGGCATGCAGGAGCGACAGCAGCCCTCCATCCCGGGACATGAAGCGGCGGCGGTTAGTGCAGGTTCTTCAGCTTGATGAGACGCTCCAGGCTTCCTCAGTCCTTTGAAACGACGTCCAGCCCGTCAGTCCTCCGGTTTCTCTCTCTTGCTCTGGCTCTAAACATAATGCCCCGCCAGCAATACTTGGGTAGACTGGCCGGAGGAACCGGTTTTTTCTGTTGAGATCATGGATCTGAGCTCCGCGCCTGCAGTGCGCACGGTGGCTGCGAGAATGCGGAAACGGCAATGGAGGGCATCCAAGTCGGATTGGTTCCCCGCGAGGAGTCGGCGGTGTGAGTAGAGAGCACCCGAGAATGAGAGCATGGCTCCCAAAAATATGTTAATCCATCGTAATCTTGTGGAAAAGATGAAGCGGCTGCAGCAGCTGATGCTCGGTGCAGGTGTGTTTAATCCACGAGAGGAGGAGAGGTGAATCCGCGGCAAGGTGCGTACAAAAAGTTTGGGTTTGGCGCTGCGCACACCTCCTGCTGCTCACACACCTGCGTACTGAGGGAGCAGGCTGCTGACAAACTGTGTGTGTGTGTGTGTGTGTGTTTTAGTGGGAGAGAATGTCATTTTGGTTGAGTAAACGTTGGAGTCTGTGTTTGCTAAACAATTGTTCTTGCAGTATTATAAATCTTTGGTCCATTATTAAAAGACTTTCTGACATGTAAAACTCCATGACGACATATTATTACTTGATGAAATAAATATATTTGCAACAATTCTGACAGTCACTTAATCCTTTTCAAAATGATTTTCTTAGCTTTTTATGATGTTTATTGAACTTTTATTTGGTTGCAGTTGGTTGGACAGATCAATAACAAACAAGAAGACAGCAGCTCTATCACTGGGAACTTGTGATCCACATGCTGTTGTTTGACATTTTATAGACTAAACAGTCAATTGATATGCTCACCTGTAAATAGTATTTTTATTTCTAATACAGGTCTGTAATGATCAGTAAAAGTAAAGGTTTCTCATAATCCTGCATGATCCCACACACTAACTATAATGTTGATTCAGCTTCAAACGATTTGATGAAACACAAACCGAAGTAGTTATTTAATGTTGCCTAAGATTTGAAGAAGTAACCATGTGCTACATGTGTTTTAGCACAGCCTGAATGTGAGATGTCTCTGAGCAGGTGGAGTTTTAGGACACAGCAGGCTTTAGGTCCAACTGATGAACTCAGCAGGTGATTAACTGATGAGTTGTTTCCTGTGATTATTAGTGGGTGAAGCGTTTTTATTTGATTGGCTCAGTTAGACACCCAGCGTGCTGAGGATCTCGGTTTCTTTAAGTTGTGTTGAGGGTTAGGGTTGACTTTTTCATGTATTTTCTACATAAACATGTAGACACACAAACAAACAACAGACATGTAAGAAATGTGTTTAGCATTTAGAGTTCGGAACCATTTTGAGTTATTTTTCAAGTGTATATGTGTTTTATTTATAGTAAAACGTTAATGCAAAGTCAGCTGTATAAATGTCCCTATAGGACAATAGAGTGGAAGTAGAAAGCAACATCAACAGAAAGTATTCAGGTAACTCCAAAAAGTATTTGTGTAAATGTATTCTGCTACTTTCTAATAAAAGCAAGTAACAATCATGAACCTTGAGTGTGGAATATGAAATAAAGACACAGCTCTGTTTCATAGATAGCACACCGTTTTATTAGTATATTTAGCTTTGTGACGTACAGCTCGGGAGAAAAAAAAACAAAAAACTAAATGGTCACAATTTTTTCAAAATCCAGAAACATTTTAGCCTTAGCAGAGACATCACACAAAAGAAAGCTCAGTTTTTCAATCATTGGTTTCTTTGTCATGGACCAGAGTGATATGTTCTCGTTGTTGGGCTCCACAAACGCGCCCGTACCGCTTCAACAAACAGAAAAAAATAACCGTAGATTTCATTTTTTTTTTTTTTCCTCGATCATTTAAGTTGCTTCACATATATTATCAACACTTTTCTAAAGAATCAAAATATTTAGCCACAGGTACTGGAAAAAAGATATCCACTGTTATATATGATAATAAACACAATAAATATAAAAAGAATTTTGATATAATTTATATGGTATCAAAGAGAGAGGGAAATGGGCTTCCAGATAGACTTGTTTTTACAAAAGTGATGTCCTTTTTTTTCTTCCTGAGGTTGAGTTTTGTCTTCTGCAGTTTAAAGTTTTGCTAAATATACTAATAGACTAAGAGACCCGACACACAGGGTCTGTAATGGCTTATCATTCACTGAGGAATCATCTCCACCCGATCGTTGTCACACCAGCCGAGGTCATGGTGGCCCCGCTGTGATTTTGTGTGCTGTGGAGTTAGCCGAGAGGTCAAAGGTCAGCCCCCTCTGAGCCAACAAACACAGCTCGACTCCCCCCCTCCCAAACAATCGGTTTTGTACGGGAACATCACGCTTTCAAATTTCAGATGCGCAAGGTTTCTTCACCAAAACACACAAATTAATCAAGCACAGACTAGCTGTTAGCATTCCTCAATGAAACATAGGGGCACCTTTAGCACAAATGCTAACTGAATGCTAACAAGGCATTTCTAAAAGGATGCTTAAAAAAACAAGTCTGGTGAAGAAAAGTGCTCTGACTGAAATGAAAAATGTCAACGTGTCCCCGCATGTGATAGGCTTATGTGTGAAATGGTGATATTTGTGTTTTAACGCAGTCCCATTTCCCTTCAGTGTGTAGTCAGATTAACTGAAAACAGGGATGAGGGTGGAGAGAGAGAGAGATGAGAGGAAACAAAACAAAAAAAAACCCAGAAAGAATCGCAAAAATCTGTACATGTAAACATCACACTTCAAATCATGAGGAGAATACAGGTTTTACATTGGTATTACTCTATACAGCCCCGACACAGGAAATCAAGACAATCAAGAGTCCGGTACAAAGTCAGGTGAAGACAGAAAGAGAACGGAATCGAGTATCGCTAACAATTATAAAATAAAATAATCTCAAGCACCACCGAAAAGGAACAAACAAAACAGTAAGACAAACGGCTTAGAAAGCCATTGTTTGATTCAGACAGTAGCTGTACACCCTGCCCTGATAGAAAAATAAAAAAGGTCCATTACTTTTTCTCCTTTGAGTTTTTTGTATGTGTGTTTTACATCCGACCAGACTGGCTCAAGAAGTTTGGGAGCTGACCGGCATCACAGATCATCTGGTGGTTTCAGGTTTTCATTTTTAATAAAGTCCCTGAAGCAGTTTCTGATTCTCCTGAATGGGTTCAATAACTCTGCACAATGAGGTCTGAGTTTCAAAAAGAGATCTGTCTGCAACTACCACAAAGCACTCAGACTTTTAAAGGAGTAGTTTGACATGTTAGTTAATAGGCTTTTTGCTTTCTTGCAGAGTTATATGAACAGGTCAATATTGAGAGTGGTATCGATTTTCTCATCCAATCACGGCAAGAAAGCAAAGAAGCGTATTAATCCCTTAAATTAGGTTAAATTAAGGTTTATTGGACAAATAGAAACTAATTATACTTGTTTTTTCCAAGGTCTAATTCTGGTGTTGTTTTCACACTAAACATATCGTATATTTATATGCAAATAACTAAAACAAAAAGTAAAATTATTATTATTATAATTTCTTCTATAAAAATTAAATTAAAGGAATGCAAATAAGCACATTGTGTAGGGTGGAACAATTGTTAACAAATCAAATGTAATATAAAAATGTTAAATAAATAAATATGTGGTAAAAACTAAAAAGAACAAGGGGAAAGTTACGGCGAAGCTCACAGTATTTTGAGATTTTTTTCTCTTTTAACAAACAGTTTTTATGCTTGAATTGGTTAAAATATGTTTAAACTGTGTTTTTCTTCGTAGGAAGCCATTAAATGTGCAACACAGGAAACGTCTATGTGGAGGTAACTTTGTGTAAAAACAATTAATTTACAGGTTCTTCACTTGAAAAGCAAGCCCATATTTAGGACTGTTTTTGAAAGCTGACTAACCCTCCGCAGTCAAAGCTGCATGTGTTTACAGGAGCTATACATCACTGTAACTTGGACCTTTTAAATTAGCGATAATTTATGACATTAATACTGTTCCTCCGCAAGGTCAGGAAGTCGCTGTGACCTTTTCCCAGAGCTCTTCTTCTGGTCTCAAAAGATTTAATCCTTTTTACTGTGGATCAATGCTGGATCGTGATCCTACAGTCACGTCTCTGTGTAAACAAAACCTTTGAGAGACATTACACCCACTGAGGAGAGCAGTTATTGAACGGTAAAGGTCAACATGCAGCTTGAATTCTTATATCCTTCATAGAGCTGATTTTGGTGGTAGAATAACGCTTGATAGCTGAACGAGCAGATACATGTTTGTGATGCCGGTCAGGCCCCGCGTTGTTGACATCCATGTTGGGAACGTGCAGTATAGGCAAACAGAGTGAAGCTGTTGAAGTATTGTACAAAATATCTTCTAAAAAAAGACCACTTCACTTGCACTACAAAAGATATCTATATAAATAATAATATTGAAAGGAACATTGATAATCATAATGCAAAATGAAGATGTGTTGGCCGTTAGGAGGAGAACGGACGCTCTGATTACGGCTGAAACACTCAGTCTGAACAACAGGCCGTCGCAAATCAAACGGCAAATTACACCTTTCTAAAGATTGTCATTTGCCTATTTTTCTTTTTTTGTACAGTTTTTTTTGTGGTGCGGTTCTGCAACTTTCTGACTTATAAGTAAACTGACCAGGGCTCAGAAACACGTACAGTAGAAAACACTAAGGTTGACACTTAGGAACCGGTGAGATAAAAGTCCCCAACGTGACCCTCTGGCTCTTCTGACCGACTACTTGATTATCACTTCAAATACTTCAACTCGGGCACTTTGTTTTGATTCCTTTTGGGCGATCTCAGGGGTCCAGTCGTGTGTGCTAAAGTAGTTATTCTTGGAAATGTTAAAGAAGCTGTTAAGCTGAGGAGAGAAACAGCGGGGTTAACTGCAATAAGAGCGTCTTTACGGGGAGACTAAAATAATAATGCTTTCGTCCTCCTTATCAGACCTCATTAGTACAAAAAGAAAGAAAAAAACGTTTAATTTTAGTTTTCAAGCTGCAGTTTAAGAAATACAGCCTGAGGATAATTCAATCTTAAAGACTGGGGAGGTTACATTGTACTGAATCATTTACTCCAACTGTGGCTGTGTTCCTTTCTTTTTGATCTAATATTTGAGAATGTATGTTTGCTGATTTCCTCCATTTCTTAAAAAACACTTGAATTGAATGGATGCTAAGTTAGGGAGAAATTAGAGGAACATTTGATTGTACCTCAGTGGGTCTCACAACATGTTACATTGTGGGATTTCCTCTAATTCAAATCATATTTTTTCAGGGATGACCTAAATGTACTGTAGTGATTCATCTTTTTGTGTGTTGTCACCTTTTAAGAACATTTTTAAAGGTCGCCTAGGTCGTTATATTTTTGCATATTTCTCTCGTGTCATTCAATGACCAGTACACTTTTAAACAGAGTTTCCAGTTTTGGGAAAAAGTACAAACAAAACAACTTTTACAATTCAATATCTAATCAGCCATAAATTAAATTACATTTACAACATTTTGAACTGATCTGGAGTTGATGTGTTGGTTTGGACATCAAATGTAGATCAGTGAGAGTTTGGATGGAGGTTTGTTCAGATATGAGATCACACCTCCTGAGAGACACGCTCCAACATGTCCTCCGCTCTGCAGCCTGACATGAAACACAATCTAACACCAGTGAATGCTATGATTATCAACTGCATTGCAAAAAAACACACCGCTCCTCTTTCACGGCTCTTGTCTGACTTCAGCAGTGCAAGTCAGGGGTGGGGAGGGGGGGGTACACACAGAGAGGACCCTCCCCCCCCCGCCCCTTCAAATCACAGATGACTGCTGCTTCGCTCAGTGTGCAAAAAAGGGAGCATATCACGGTGACAAGACAGACAAGCACAGCACACAGAGCGATGGCTCGGAGGATTTAAGTCACGCTTTTGTTCAAATGCAAACCTCTGATACTTCAGGAGTTAATTGATAAACCAGAAGTTAGGAGAAACTCCATAATGAGACAAAACTAAGTGGTGGTTAAAAAAAAGTAAAGTAGCTTCTTTCTAACGTCACAGCTAAATACGAAACTGGAGCCAGCTAGATTAGCACAGAGACTATAAAACAAGGGAACAGTTATAACAAAATCTGCTCAAATCTGCACTTTAAAAGCATATTAATTAGAATGGTATATCCCACTTGTTTCATCTTTAAAAAGAAAGTCAATACATGTGTTTTGTTTTATAAGATGTAACGTCTTTTTCAGCCAGGTGCGGTACTGTAGGATCATTTTCAAACCTTTGTACAGAGCGTAGTTTCCCGTAGTTTCCAGTCTTTATGCTAAACTAAGCTAACTGGCTGCTGTCTCAAAATCAATCTGTCATCTCACTATTAAATACATAACTATTCTTTTAACAGGATTTACTTGAATTTTCTGTATCTGTGGTGATTCAGTGTTTTTTTTTTCTTTCTTTCTGAATTAAATCAACCAACAAAATGTCCCATCATAAAAAAAAAAAAACAGTTAATCGGGATTAGAAAGTGGGCTGTTTTGCTTCCTTGAGAGGTTTAAGTGTGTACTTGTTGGCCTGATATGGAGTACCACAGTGAAGGTGCAAGACTCCACTAATACATCCCTCCAGAGGATGAAATACGGCAATACAAAATAAAAGGTTGAAGGAATTCACAGTTAGAAAGTCACACAACACAACATGAATCAAGCCCTATGAAGCAAACAACAAACAAAGAAACCAACCAACCGGTCAGAGAGACGGGCGAGGCGGGGCGGGGCGGGGCGGGGGGTGAAGGCAGGAGTGTTTTTCAATGAGTCCTGCTGTTTTTGCTTCGTTGGTTGGTCGGTCGGTCAGTCGGTCAGGTTTTCACGGGCACTGCGGCTAGCTAACGCCCGGCTTTGTTGAGGTTTCAGGTCTATGGCAGAAGGTCCGGCTTTTGTATAGCAGCAGCAACATGAGAGTTCATCATTATAATCATAATAATAATAACAACAATAATAATGGCCATCTCAGAGTTTAACAGACAAACACAGTAAGACTCCTCCTCTTCCTCTTAAACCTGGACCAAACCAGGGCGGAGGGGGGAGGAAGAGGGGGACGTTTAGGTCCATGAAGAAGAGTAGGTCCAATGAGAGAAGAAGAAGAGAGGGAGGGGAGGTAAACAGAACGATGCCTAGCTTTCGTTGGCGTTACGTCTACATTTGTAAAAAGTAGAAGCTGGAGGTAAAATTGGCCACCAGTGATCAATATTTAACCCCTCCCTTCCACACACCCTCCTCTCCCTCCCATTAAAGGAGAGAGTCACACTCCTCTCCCATCTGATTTCTCTCAAGTATTCAAGATGAACTGATTATATACAGCAGCACACGAAGTAAACCCGCACAGATGAGAGAAAAAAGTTCTAAGATGTCAGTGTTCAATCATCAGTTCTTTGAAATGCTTCATCGTTTCCACATTACAGGTCTTTTTGCGCAATAAAGTTTGATTCTCCCCCCCATGATATATAAACCTTGAAGACATCAGGTGGTAGAGAAGAAGTAAACTGGCTTCCGGTGGGAGTGTTACCATTCACTTGCAGTGTGTGTGTGTGTGTGTGTGGAACAGAAATTGGCAGGTCTGATCTGAGGTATTTCCTGGCGGTCAACATGGCGTCTTGGATGCATAAGTTGTTGCTCCCTGGGTAAAAGGGGTGAGGAGGAGGTGAGGTTTCAGGTGAGGGGAAAGTGCTATAGGACACAGAGAGCTTATTTACAAGCGAGCACAAACAAAGTTTCTCTCCTCCTCTTTTTTCTTTTTTTAAACAAACATTTTCTTTTTTCTCTTTTCCAGTTTCCATCCTTTAACCCCTCCAGACTCAGAGTCAGTGCTTTCTGTCAAGATAGCTCAAACCGCTCCTTTCTTTCAGTCACGTGGGAAAAGTAAAAACAAACAAAAATGCTCACTGGACTCCCAAAAAAACAAATGAATTCTTCCATTAAATCAAAAACACTGGTCAGTTAACAAAGAGCCTCAGTAGTACTAACTCAGGGTCTCGTTATTTATTTTAAATTGTTATCATCATTAGACGCCATTGGCCCGGGCTCCCATCAAAACTGTTGGAGCTCCAAAACTTCACTCCACCCACGAGGAGTCTTTTTATCTGAAACCGCAGCAGCAGAATCATCAGTCCTTTACTCTTCTTCCTCTCCTCCTCCTCCTCTCTTCCTCTCCTCCACACTCCTTCTCTCAGAGTGTGGTGCTGATTATGAGGTGCTTCCAGAGAGGAGAGGAAGAGTATCCTTCAGAGTCCCAATGCTCCTTTTTTCTTCATTAGTTCCCTCCCCGGGCAGATAAGATGGGTTGAGGATGTGGGGGCTCGTTTGGTGGGATTTGTCTCCCTCCCTCCCTCCCACTTTTTCCTCCAAAAAATGCAAAGTAGCCACAGTGTCCGAAGAGAAGGCAGATTTAAGGAGGGAGGAGAAAAACAGGAGGAGGTCTGGTTGATTAGGAGAGGCGGGGGACGCAGACATTCACAAACATGAAGGGAGATGTGTGTGTGTGTGTGTGTGTGTGTGTGTGTGTGTGTGTGTGTGTGTGTGTGTGTGTGTGTGTGTGTGTGTGTGTGTGTGTGTGTATGTATGTATGTTTGTGTGTGTTCTCCCAGTTTTCCCCGAATCAGTTCTGCTGCAGGATGAGGTTCTCCAGCTCGTCGGCCGAGCGGAGCAGGAAGGCGGCCGACTCCCGGTAGCCGGCGATCAGCTGACGCACGGCAGTGATCTCTGGTTGGCTGAGCTGGGTGGAAGCCCCGCCCCCTCCTCCACCCCCGCTGCCCCGCCCACCCAGGCTGTTGTTGGTGGAGGCAGAGGAGGAGTTACTGATGTTGGCGGAGGACAGAGACTTCATGCTGAGGTCTGTGGGACCTGAATGTGAGGGGAGAGGCGGGAGATATACATGAGAGATGGATCGATGAGAAAAAAGGAGGAAGGAGTGAAGTGAAAGGAAACAAGGTGAAATGAAGAAAAGGAGAGAAGTCACAGGGAGAGAAAAGAGAAAGATCAGTCAGTTCAAAATGACAGTTATTAAAGCGTGTCCAGCCCCAGGTAAGCGGGGGAACTTGTGTAAACATCATCTTGCAGATAATGAGAGTTTGCAAACAGGACGCTAAACACTTAAACTGGACTTATAGTTGTGTGTTGAGAGTGAAAAGCAACTGCATGAGGGTTGAATAATGGCCTGAGAACATTACGCTCTCTATGACTAGCTAACCTGTTTGCTGAAGCTCTAGCTGATCATGACACTTTGTCATCTCTTTATTAATTTCATTCTAGTAATTATTGTTCACGTGTGTCATGGCAATACTGTAACCTTGTAATCACGGCTGGGTGTGGTTACAGGTGACACACAGCACTCTGACCACACCCAGCCGTGACACAGGGTGTGTTCAGGAGTGAAGCTTTCTAACTTGCAACCCTCTTTAAACTTTATAGACTATATTTCAAGAAGGTTTTGAGATCTATGAGAGATATGAAGATACCAAAATGGCTGTAACTTAAAACTATTGGGAAATAACGGATCTGTAGTTGACCGGTCAGCAAAAAGATTGAGTTTTACTTTTGAATTTCTAAGTTATCTGTGACTTGCTTATTAAACCCTGATTTGAGAGTAAGTCTGCTGAGCATGTACGGTACGCTGTTTTGAGGAGCACTTCTTCCTGGAACAGTTACAGAAACTTATGGGACACTAAAGCCCCTTGAAAGGAACATGTACATCAGTTTGAAAAGGCTGTAGTATTTTAGCTCCATATTTAAGGAATGCTGACGTCAGTATCGTGTGTGTGTGTGTGTGTGTGTGTGTGTGTGT